AAACGAATTATAATCATGACTTCGCAAAATAAAAAGGAAGCATTATATAAACCGAACAGATATGGAAAGAGACAGAAAAGGCCAATTAACACATACAGCCTTCTCCTGTATTGTTAAGTGACCTTTCTTTTTGGTTGTTAATGGATTGATAGTTGTTGACACCGGAGTGGATGCTAAGCACTTTATACCGACAAAAATCGATTAAGTTGGAGGGTCGGGTTAACCTTGCACAAATGATTAACTATTACCCACGGGTCAGTGTTTATCAAGATAGAGGATAAAATAGCGGGATATATACGTTGCTAAGAGAGAGCTGCATGTGAGAAACGTTTCGGCACACAACTCTAGTTTCCGACGAATTTGACTTCGTTTTCATTGTCGTCGTGCAGGTCTCATAATCAATCTTTCAGAATAAAGGTTTGTCATTATTACCAATGCGATCTTCATCATCAGCCGCCATTAAAAAAACAAAAGGTATAGATAAGTACAAAAGATATAGATAAGCTCCACATAACGGAGAATCTTTGAGATTGAGGCTCAATGGTTTCAAATACATTAATTAATAAGCAAATTACCTGTTTATACGTTAATGGCGAACAAAAAAACGAAATAACGGAATTGTTTGAATGGAAAGGACAAAATCCAGGTCACCAATTGTTTTCTCTATATGTTTAGATTGAGTTCAATTCCTGACCAGCAAATTTTTAAACAATTAATGATAAGGTTTTCTGTTTCAAGTCGTTAGCAGTCCAGAACTGTCATCGTGTCAAACAATTAGTTGAAGAGTTCATTCTGAGCAAACTCGGCCTTGGTGAAGACTAATACTAGAAATAAAACCTAAACACTCTAAAATAAATTGATTTCCAGTTTATATCACATGACATACATCCAGCAGGATGTGTGACAAGTGGGGTTTGTGTACAGTTCAAGCTATAGTGCACCCGATGAAGGCCTTATGGTGACTTTCAACTGGTGTACGTGCGCCAGGAGTATAATAATTAACCGGTTGTGCATTAGCTCAGACGATCACAATTGAGGACCGTTTCACTAATCAGAACGCTCGATTAATGCCCCACGCAGGACCAACTACGTGCAGCAGAGAATTACATTTAAGCTTTCTTGAGCCATCACTGTCGTTCGCCCTGGATACTCTATCTTCTGGAATTCATATTACACGTAATGGCAAATTACATAAAATAGTTCCACGAATCGGTTTACATCGATCGTGGTAAGTGACCGAAGCACTACCCATTCATTAGTAGGATCCCACTGATTTTGAGATACTAAGAGTGCCGGCGCCAGTGGTATATCAGAATTTGACCTGCAAGGTTTGCAGCGGTTTAAATGGGATTTTGGTCTAGACTAGCAGATCGAACTCTTCGAATCGCGTCGTGTTAATAGTAGGAAGCTGTTTATGAAGTTTCGTAGTTGAACAACGGAGTACATGTACTTGGTGCACTACTTGGACAAGCGTTTGGTAGAAATGAAGGGACGGAACATTATCCGTGTGTTGCTAATTCTGATGGTGACGTTCCATGTTAAGGCGCAGGACTCCGGTAAGTATCTATTTGAACATGCTGTTACTGTGCATTTACGGAGGGCACTTCATGGCCAAATCACTGTGTTAGTTAGCTCTTACACAAAGCATTGAAAGCATTCTTCTAGTTGGTGCAACTGCCCCATGACGGATTGTCTGAATAATAGCTGGTTACAATCTTTTCGTCATTGAAGACGGCCTCCGTAAGTGTACAGTTCATAGTGAGTTTGTTTCTGCATTCAATAGGGGACGTTGAACAATAGAGGACAATAAAGTCCCCAATTTCCGAAGGTCCCAAATTTACGATCGTGTACAAAACATATGGGAAGTCTTCAAAAGACCTTCTTACAAAAGAGGGACAATAAGGGTCCCTGAATGCAGGCAAATAAACATTTCTATGCGCTCGGACAGGTGCCAGTAGCTAAATGTTTAATATCGCAAAATGTATATCTACACCTTAATTCACTATGAACATCTTCACCACTTAAAAATTCATTAAAAGTCCATTTCTCCGTGAAAAGAATCTTTAAGAGATGTTTCACGGACATTTACATGGGTTTATATAGGACTAATCCTGTAAGGGTATTTTCACGGTTTTTTTAATGACCCTGGCCACTGAGGATTATCATTGGTTATACATAACGGTACACTGGGTCTATCTCCATGGGTAAACAAAGGACCTTCTTAAGGGTGTTTTCACGGACTCCTAATCTGGCTTAATATGTTGAAAAATCCGTGGAAATTTAGTTAACAGTAATTTCAAGGGAAAATGGCTCTTTAACGAATTTTTAAAGGATAAAGATGTTCATAACTCCCTAGGGGGTATACAAAATCGTATTGAAATTGGAGGATTCACGACTGTTAGGGGTATCGCTAGAACGGTATGTTTTAGAAAGCGAGAAAAGGATGTACACGTATATCTAAGTAAGGATACGGTGGGGCCGCTGACGAATTTCAAATTGCTAATATCACTTTTATTTTTTAATTTCTGATTTTAATGACGTATGCCTGTCATTATATCAAACACGATACACTGAAAAACCTCGGACTGAGAGTCCCTTCTGCCTCAAGTCAAACCCGCAAGCAAATGAGGGTTTATTCTCAAACCGCGATATGAAACAATTCATATTATTTGTTTTTCTTACAAATTTTGTTTCCAGCCGAAATCGGTTAAGTGAATAGTTTGGACGAAGTTTGTCGGGTGAAAATCACTTTCAATCAAGAAAATTGCGACAATCAATGTAGGGGAAACTTCACCTGAACTGTTTTGTCAGTTTTCAGGAAGAAATAAATTCAAACTTGATCACGTTGAAACTTGAGCACAGGCGTTTGAGTTATCACCATGGAGACAAAATGAATTTGCCCTACGAAACAACGCGCGTGGGGGATCACAAACATCACCTGGACGGAATATGGTTAACTGAATTCGGCGAGTAGATGCGGTATCACGATTCTATTGATTTGAACCTTGACAATCTGACAAGTCAAATATGGATTGTCGTAATTATTCAGAATACATTTACACGTATGCGAACAGGTGAACAGCTGCCTGGAGAGCAATTCAAAATAAATAATTTGTGTATACAGAAAGCAACCTGTACTACGTGCTGTACACCTGTAACGCATACATACATAAATAAATATAAATACATTGTTCCAGTTTGGCATCCGTCAACAAAAAAGGCATTTCGATAAAAATCTGTGTGAAACTGCATTTTCAATCAATTAAACCAATTTTTCTACCAGAGGTAGTGAATAATGTTTTTAACATACGTTAGAAATTTCATTTTGCCATGAAGTTTCACAAACGTAACAAAAAGCTTATTTTGGCAAAAGGATGTATCTTGAGAAAGCTAACTCGAGTTATCCTGATTTCTTTGTTTTAATTAAAACGAACTTGACCTTTGGCCTAAGGGGTCCAACAGTGATCCAAGGAAAACCAATTCACTAAGTTTCAGCTTTTCCTGAGTTATGTTGGAAAACTTCCTGTTTATATGCCAAGGTTTCCTTTATTTATGCTTAAAAAACTACATGTAGTTAAATTGTATTAACCGTAACGATCTTGACTTTTCGCCTATATGGGGCCGGGTCCAAAAGTTACAGGTTTCTCGGGGATCACCAGACTCACCAACGTCCTAACTAAATGTTCAGTTGTTATGACATGTCTTTCTTGAGTTATGCCACGAGACAATTACTAGTTTTTAACCATAATGATCTTGGTTTTTGTCGTATAAGGTTCAAACAAGGTTAAATAAAGTTTATTAAAGTTTCACCAGTATGTTACCTATCACGAGTAATGACATAAAGCAAGTCCAACTTGAGTTTCGTATTGAAACTGAAAGTGTAACACACGCATACAGGTGTGTACTTGCTGGCAATCGGGTACCCCCTATTGTCCCTCTGTTGTTTGTACCTAAACTTTGTAGGAAAACCTCCTATATGTTTTGTACACGAATCAAAATTGGGGACCTCTCAGGAATAGGGGACCTTATTGTCCTCTATTGTCTGACGTCCGCTATTGAATGCAGAACAAACTCAGACTACCTGAAGTGTGTATAATTGTTATCGTATATTTACACACGTTTTTTTATGGGGTAGACCTTTGTTTTCCTTATTTTGTTTTTCTTTGTTTCAATTGAAATCTCAAACTCCATAGCGTTTCCTTTATAGGACAGATTGATTTCTAACGACTGCCTTATGGGGTTTATAATTGTTCTATTGTGTTGCCTTTCCAAAGAGGAACCCTGTAGGTACCAGCACCCACACGTGTGGAAACACTATACCCATTCGGCTTCGCAGGAGGGCCTAAAACAAAATTATGAACATTTCGAAATGATGTAGCGCAACGTGTCCTTTCTCGGGGCGTTTCTATCTTGCCACCAGTGGATATGTGCTTATGCAGAAATCTCCTATTCGTCACACTACTGCGAATATCATCAGTTACCAGTGTATTCAATAAGCGTACACGTACGTGTCCTTCAGTAATAACATCGTGAACGATTGGTTCGTTAATTGGTATGATCCATCTAAAAGCAGGTCGGCAATTTCATGACGAGATACGGAACCTTTCTGTATGTGAGCGATTAAGCTTTTAGAGTAACGTGCACTTTTCACTAATTAGTCCAGCTGCGTGACTCTTTTGTAAACTGATACTGGAAGATGTGGAATTATGTTTACGTCGCAACATATACATTACCTTAGCTCACTATCATTATCACTGTGGGTGATGTTGGGTGACGAGTGGTGGCGGAGCTGATTATGCTTAATTTGTTTGCTGGTGCCAGAGAACCAGCCTTTAGACATTCATCATGCTGCAAGCATTTCAGTCATGTTCCCTGTATCCAATAACGGTAGGCACACTGAATGACAATATTTTTTTGCGCAAAAAGGAACCAGACATTTTTCCTTCCAGTCTCGCTTTGGTTACGTTGATTTGAAAGGGAAAAAAATCAAGATGGCCGCAACATGATAATGGTCTATAGTGTCCTCTTTGTACCATCTCACCGACTGACTGACTGATTAACTGACAGACCTTTACTTAAACAGTAAGAAAATAAAACAAAGTGAAACGATATTTTTAATTCGTTTTACCAACGACAACCGTGCTGTTCCTTTTGTATTCTTTTCAGCAAAATCTAATCAACTCGTCACTCATACTGATCAGAATTGTTCGTTTGTTTCGCAGAGTTCACAGATATCAGAGATCTCGGAATCCAGCTTGTCAATGGAAACGACCCCAACGAGGGCAGGGTGCTAGTTCGATGGTCCCCCGACTCCGACTGGAAGGCTCTGTGCTTTAAGCGGTACGCTCCCGACACCATCGCCCATCAGATGTGCAGGCGGCTCGGGTACCCGTTCGCGTGCGGCATGGAGGAGGCAGGGGCGGGGCGGACCGAGGACACATCCCTTCGGAACATATCAAGCGTGATATATCGATATCAGTGCAACGCGCATCTATTTAACATCACGGCTGGGGGCTGTCTTTTATTTGAGACACCATTGTTTGATCCAAGTCTCGGCCCGCCTTGTGCACATGAGCAAGACACGTGGTTAATGTGTGGATTTGCAGGTAAGCCGCAAGCGAGGAGAGAAAAGGGGGATTAAAGGTTTCAAAGATAGTTTTCAAAGGCTTGGTTCTTGAGAAACATTCATTTTCCTCTTCCTGTCGACAATGATCTATAGTCACGAGGCAGACCACATTTGGGCATTAAAGGGGCGCTAAATGTGCACTGAACAATCATCAGGCTATAATGTGGTCACGTGTACGCTCCACTGTAAATTATGTATACCCAATTTCTTATACCGGGGTAAAAAAAACCGCTTGACCTTCACTTCCGGTGTTACCAGAAGTACAATAGAAATGCAATCTAACTCGAAAACGGAAGCCTTTTACCACAGACAAATATACAGGGTGAGTCAAAAAACGAAACCCAAAATGTTGGGACCATTATTTTAGGGAAGTTCTGTATGTAGCACTTCCTAAATCTAGGATATGAAAATCCAATTCATAAGCTTTATTTTTAGTACAAGAATTATGCAAATTACTCACGTACTTCTGAAGTTACATCATTTTAAACACAACCACCGTTTTAGGGTTCTGTCCACGGATCGCAAAAAAAGTTCAATGTTCTTTCAACCAAACGAAAACAAATCGCATAGGGATGTGTGTGAATTTTTTTCGTTTTGCTGAAAGAACGCACACCTTTTTCGTGATCCGTGGACAGAACCTTAAAACGGTGGTTGGGTTTAAAAATCCGTAACTTGAAAGTGCATAAGTGACTTGAATGATTTTTTTACTAAATGAAAGCTTACGAATTGGGGTTTCATATACTAGATTTTGAAAGTGCTACATGCAGAACTTTAAAAAAAAAAATGGTCCCGACATTTGGGTTTCTTTTTTTTTTGACTCAACCTGTATTATGATAGTGTTAAGCGAGGAATGCCAAACCGGGAAAAAAAACCGTTTCTCTCATCATTCGGGTTTGCTCTAACCGAGGTAAGTTCATAAGCACTGCGTAATGCGTTGCCCGATAGCATACTCACAAGCTTACTCGAGTGGGATTCGAACCCACAAACCCCTGCGTATTGGTAAAGATGTCTTACTACTCGACCACGAGTTTGTTGAGGTTGGCCGGCCGGTTTGAGCGTCGGGTATCTGTATCTGTATCATTATAGTTGGTAAAGCACACCAACTAAGAGAGAAGACAATGAGGAGAAATTACAGTTTTAGATTGGGTACCGCAATCAATCACGATTTCTGTCTCTTATACAGGAATGCCAGATTTTGAATTGCGACTGGTTGAGGAGGGGTTAATTGGTGCCACTAGAGGACTCGTCCAGGGTCGCTGCGGTGGGAGGCAGGAATGGGGTGCCATCTGCAGCAACACATTCGACCTGTCAACCGCTGGACAAGTGGCCTGCCGCGATTTGGGACAGCCTCCCGCCATTTCGGTAGGGAGGGTAGACCGCGGTGCGGTTGATGCGGAGTTCCTACCAGACTACACGCTGTTCGTGGACATCGGTTGTGTTGGGGATGAAGCGAGTCTGAGCGAGTGCGAACACCACTCGCTGCGGTATTGCGAGAGTTTTGCCTCCCTGGAATGCTTTACCGGTAAATATATCGCCGAACCTACTTTTTAATGCTTAAGTGTAAGGCTAGAATCTCATGTCAATCTTGATGGATTTCACGATCAGGGTGTTTGAATTCTTGACATTTTCTGTGATGCTCCTATTTTAACTCTTTCTTGTAATGAAACAAGGAATTCCTAAAAAGTTGAAGGGTACTAAAAACTACATATTTAAATTAATCCGATACCGTAAATAGACGGAGCCCAGTTTGACCATCTCGTAGCCGGTCGCCCCCCCCCTTCAGATCTCGGCCATTGTAAAGAAAAATTATGAAACTCGGTACATGCACTGAACAACTTGATAAGAATCTAACCCAAGAAATGTCATGATTACGGGTTAAAGATTTTTGGAATTATCGGCTCATTAAAGGGAAACTGCGTCCTGGAATGGGCCAAAATGGGCTACAAAACGCACTTTGAACGAAATCGCCTTTTTTCAGACGTGTAGGAAACCACATTGGCATTGGTGCTGTGTGTAATATTATGCGACATGCCCAACGTGTATCTTACATTGACTGAAACGCGGGAAAAACGTATGCATACTCCATCTTACGTGTCCGATGTAAACAATTTTGTCCCCTCTTTTCTCGGGAATGGTAAGACAATACATTGGTTTCCTTTCAACCAGATGTTTGAAATAGAATAGGTAAGCAATCCAAAACATGAACATTTCGTGGATTTCAGGACGCAGTGCCCCTTTTATTATTCAAACAAGTTGAAGGGGAAGGCGGATTCCGCCCCAGCTTTTTGAGTTACAGTTTGGCAAAAAAATCCTTACTTACTATGAAGTGCTTAGTCCGTTCCGAGATGGAACCTATAATTTGTTGTATTTTATACAGAAACTAAAGTTACAACATAGAGTGTCATGGCCTAGCAGTTAAGTGCTACGGACTCATGATCTGGTGTTCAGAAGCAACATAATGTGGGTCCGAACCCAGGTCTAGACACTTGTGCCCTTAAGCAAGGCACTTAACCATTATTGCTTCGTCCTTCGAACGGGACGTAAAGCCGTATGTAGCTGTTGGGTTATGATTGCATTACACAATACACGGGACCAACGTAAAATAACCCGGTAACACCTCGTAAATACTCGTGTAAATACACGAGTATTTACGAGAAGAAACAACCAATTAGCACCATGTACTAACTTATAATTTGTTACGATCATTGTTTGCAGGAAACCGGGATATCAGAGATATTGACATCGAGCTCGTGAATGGCAGCGCCCCCAACGAGGGGCGAGTCTTAGTTCGCTGGTCCCCCGACTTTGAATGGACGGCAGTGTGCTTCAGTTCGAATTACACTGACGCGTTGGCCTTCGACATGTGCAGGCGGCTTGGTTACCCGTTCGCATGCGGCAAGGAGGCGGCAGGGGCGGGGCGGACCGATACCCCCTCCTTGGCGAATATAGCCAGCGTGGCATATCTAACCACGTGTAGGTCAGACCCGAACGATATCTTCGCAGGGGGCTGCTCCCTCTCTGCGGCGACTGATCCCGTTGATGTGCATCCTTGTCCGCATGAACAGGACTTGTGGTTATCGTGTGGATATGCAGGTAAGCTTTAAACATAAGCAAAATGTAATTAAAAGTAAGACTAAGGAGTTTGCTAAAAAAATTTAAAGAAAGTTGTTGCGAACCAATCTGATGACGCAACAGTCTTCTGCTGGACCCGAAGGTACAGCTGACTGAGTCACTGTATGACAAAGGCACTGACTGACTGACTCCCCGACTAACTGACTCACTGCCTGAGTGACTCATCGAAACTGAGACTTTGGATCTAGCTCGACGAGAAAATCCTAGACTTGTCTATATTTGCGATTAACTCAAGGCTCATTTCAAATAGTTTTGCGGCATGTCATTCCATCTTTTGTCAGAAATGCCGGACTTCGAACTGCGACTTGTGGAGGGAGCACCCGGTAGCTCCAATAAAGTCGTTCAGGGTCGCTGCGGTGGGATACCCGAATGGGGTGCTGTCTGTGGGCACCTATATTACGAGCGAAGGGCCGGACCTGTTGTCTGTCGAGATCTCGGGCTGTCTAATTACTCCATTTCGACAGGAGCACTAGCACTGGGAGAAGTTGATGCGCAGCTGGTGCCCGACTACACGCTGTTCGTTGACATAGGGTGTGTCGGCAACGAATCGAGTCTGAGCGAGTGCGAACACTTCTCACTTAGGCAGTGCAACAGCTACGCCACAGTACAGTGTTTTACCGGTAGGTTTATGGACATACGGTATTATATGTTCGTATGGTATTATAGAACTAGGGGTTCTGAGCAAGTGTGCTTCTGCCTGAGGTCCTCTTTTGGTGCAATGTCAAATTGAGGACACTCATTTTCCTTCCTTTAATAAGAACATTAGCGTTCTACAAATAACTTGGGAGTTTCCTCCTCAACCTCTATAAATCGCAAAGGCTGACGATGTGCTTACCAGCACATTATATTCAGCTCCGACTGATTCCGCAGCTTGAGTTGACGCTAAAGCCGAAACCAGAACCGTTATTTGGGATTGATGATACAAAGACACACATCCAACAAGCTTGATCAATTATAATCCTCATTATCATAACGGCGACTGGCCTCTACTGCTGTCACGAGCATTCGGCCTTTTGTGCATTATTAAAATGAGACCACATTATAGTGGCCTTTGAATTCCGTTTATTTATGTGCTAGCCCTTGACACACTTTCCCCTTGCTTACAGAAATTCGGGAGTATGAAGAAACTGCTTACCTTTGTGGTGCTAAGCAACTTTGTGGTCAACAATGCAATCAACAGATCCATCCTCTGCCGAACGACGTTAACGTTTTCCACTACTGCCAGTGCGACGACGCCTGCGTACTATTCGACGACTGTTGTTACGACTACGCCGGTGTTTGCGACCGTAGAGCGCCCAGTTTAGAGCGCGGGGGCTTCACGGCTGACCGGTTCGGCTGCGTCTGGGTACCTGGCAGTCAGTTCACTTTCACTGGCTTTGTGATGATCGACCGCTGCTCGGACGACTGGAGAGATGAAGGTATCCGTGCCTTGTGCGAGAAACCGATCAATGCGACAGACGTCATTGGATCGTTGCCAGTCTTCGACGATCAAGGCGTGGATTTTTCAAACATCTTCTGCGCCCTGTGCAACCACAGGTCTCTGGGTAAATTGAGCAGGTGGGATGTTTTTAGTTCTTACAACAAAATAAGTAGTACCACAAACACATATTACACATCTCTCAACCAGACCTTACCGACAAAGGGCTGGATCATCACTCCACCGAAAAATCATACAGAAATACGTAAGTGCCCCGCTCATCTGATTGACACCTGTCTTGTTGACTTTCGCGGTACCGAGATGGAGAGAGCTTGTAGAGCTTACTACGCACCCGTACGAACCGATCGGGAAAACATAAGGTATCGTAACCCACACTGTGCTATGTGCAACGGCAAGGAACTCGTACCAGATGACTCCTGCATGGATGTGATCTGTAAGATGACATGCGAACCAGACCCTTGGGGTCCTTGCGGGATTGTCTGCGGCCCGTACAATGAGTTCTTCACAATTGAGGTTCTTTTTGACTTCACCTCTTCCTCTTCCATCAATGGGATGTCTTGCCTGGAAGGGCAGATCTACGACCCATTCCTGGAGAGGTGCCGGGTGCTGACGTGCGCAGCTGGATATCGAATCAACGGCGACGAGTGTGTGGCATACACTCCGGTTAATCCACCCATAAACGGCAGTCAAGAGACATCTGCAATCGAATGCTTGGCAAAGCGTCTTGGCAAAGATACAGCCGGCGGGCAAGCCTTGATGGCAGGACAAACTATCATCCTGAATGACCCAGACGCAGGAACATTGTCAGCTCTTATTCTCCTGACTTCGGTTCGCGAAGCACTTGCCATCGATGCAGCATTTGATGTCTATGTTGCAAATGCATCAATAGACAACCCAACCACACTTTCTGAATTATTGTGTAACATATCTACGCTGTCAATTTACGTGCCGTTTGCTCTTAGTGCTTTTAGTAGCTGTAACTTAGTAAATGGGAATGAAACATTTGTAGGATATGTTGGAAACCTTTTGATGGTGGTAAAGTTTCAAGATATCAGAGATGAGGGAGAGTACACACAAGAGAGAACATCGCCTCTATGCCTAAAGGTTGCCGACCTAAATTGCTCTTCTCTTCTGACGTTAAAGGGTTCCGAGTACACGATCTTGGCGGATGAAATTTTACAAGTGACTGCAAGTGGCATACTTGCAGCCGAGTACGTTCGCTTCCCAGACGGCTCTGTGGTCATGTGCTCTTTCGCAGGTCCGCTGCCAGAGGGGTTGGAGCCAAAGATCAGAAGGGCAATTTCCTTTGCAGGTAGCTGTCTGTCACTGCTTGCCCTAGCCGCCACTTTCGTTACATACTGCGTATTTCCTGAGCTCCGGAACACCGCAGGCAAGTCAACGATGAACCTGGTGGTGGCGCTCTTCGTCGCCATCTTGCTGTTCCTACTGACGGGCTACCTCAGGCAGAGCCGCGCCGCCTGCGTGTCCGGTGCCGCAGCGGCGCATTTCGCCTGGCTTGCCGCTTTCTGCTGGATGACGGTCCTTAGTGTCAGTGTTGCTCGCACTCTGGCGTCCAAGGTGTCAATACCGCACCGTGGCAGAGGAATCGATCGTGCACTGGTCTCCTACATGTGTCTTGCCTGGGGGATCCCCCTGATCATAGTGACCATCTGCTTGGCCCTCCAGTTCTGTAACTGCACCAGCCTACCTACAATCTACGCAGAGAGCAACATCTGTTGGATCACTGACGCCACGGTTCGCGTGGTCGTCTTCTTGGTACCGGTTGCGATGAGTTTGGTTCTGAACATCACCACGTATGTCTTCACGGTCATCAACTTCCGGAGAAACAGACAAGTAAGCAAGGCTGCTCGGCACCAAACAACGACGGACGCAGTCAGAGAAGAACTCTCCGTCTACTTAAAGGTACGTTTCAAAAATCTTACATGTTTTTGTATGTTTCGACACTACGGCATTGGGATTTTCAACCCTCTTTTATTAGCCACCAGATCAGAGAGCCAAACATTTCGATGGAACTTGACTCGCAATATTTAGGAAAGATAGAGTCTTATAATATAGGAAGCTAGGTACACCATTTTGGCAAGAAAACAAACAACTTCAGCGACTTGCAAAATAATCACAGTTCTGAAATTTCATTAATTACCCCATTGCCATGACTGTTTTTTTTTTTATGAAGAACGTTATTTTTGCATGATGTAATGAACTCGACGACGTCACTATAACATGACTATGTCGTAGTGACGTAGTCGAGTTCATTATAAGTTCCTACCAGTGCCTCACAAGTCACTCACAAGCTTTTCAGTCCTAAATTAAGTCATAACCTCTGAAGAATTGTAACAATAACGTGCCTTATAACTGTTGATCCCCCGTTACTAACGACCATACTTGTGAATGAACTTGTGATATACTTATGACAGGACGTGTGGTGGACTTTTGATAACTCAACTACAACACAGTTCATACTTTTTTGCCATGTGTTTATCACAAGACTTCATGATGGTGTCTTCTTCACCGACAGATCTGCACACTTGTTGGCGTGACCTGGGTGTTCGGCTTCGTTTCTCAGTCAGTGACTGGCATCGTAGTCTTCTCCTACATCTACATCCTCCTCAACTACCTCCAGGGTGTCTTCATCTTCATCGCCTTCTGTCTGAACAAGAGGGTCCGGGGTCTGTGGAGGCAGAAGCTGAGAAAGATGCCGGCACACACCGGGAAGACAAATCCGAATTCTCTTCATCCGAAGCACCAAACAAACATCACCTCCTCCGGCACGTCAGGGATAAGTCATTCGAAGAAGACCACAGAAAGCACCCACCTGTAAATCCTGTTTCTTTAATCCTGGGGCTTATAACAATTAAATATCGATTTATGCAGCGCAAAAATCCACCTTTTGGCTCGATTTACAAATTTTCAATTACAAATTGCTCAATCTTTGAGCGGTTCGATATTATTTCTGCGCACCGGACCGATAAAAACATTCCAAAAACCATCTTAGCTCCCTGGGGAGTATATAGCTCAATGCTGCCATATCGGCGTAATCGGCTGAATCAAACAATTGGCGTGTGCCCTCACATGTACCACTTTATTCCTTGGTGGGGAGAAGCAATGAGTGACAAAGTTTCCTGCCCAAGGACGCACGCACTACAAACACAGGCTAGACTCGCAAACAAAACCTGCAGATTTGCCCACTAGATCATGTGTGCAATACACCAGACCGCGAGGCCACAGAATTCAACGGCTATCGACACAGCTCACAAAAGCGAAGAGGGAGACAAAATGTCTCTGAGGTACAGCCTGATTAAATTTTTTTCTGGAAACACAGGTTGGCAAATTAGTTTTCACATCAAAGTCGGAATTCTTTTGAAGAATAATAGAAAAGACTACTGTTTGCCCTGGTGTTTCTGGCAGTGGCTGCAATGTGCGCCGCAGCACCTTGTAAACCATTATAAGGTGCTACATAATGGGTCTCATATTTCTCATAAACTTTATTTACCTTTCTTTAATTAATAATTGACATAATTTCCAGCGCCTTGAGTACCTAATTGTTGGTAGATACGTGCGCTAAGTAAGACTCTGTTATTATTATTATTATTACATGGGTATGAGCCATAAATACGAGTGGTAAACAGCTACCTATCATTTTAAGTGCCGTGTGTAAGGTTATTTTAGTTATAATAACAGTTGATGTATTAACTCAAGATCGGTTGTAAATATTGCTGATTCATCGCGTTTGCTTTTTTTCATGCCTTTTACGATAGCTTGTGCCTTTCTGGTTGTAAATTGTTAATGAAATTTCACTAAATGGATATAGTTACTGAGTCTGAATGGGAATGTTTACGTGTTCGATTTACATCATGAACTTCGAAAACAAAACATTTGCTATAAATTCGCAGGAGCTTTGTATAATATTCTAATTAAGAAGGCTTTTACTGTAAGATTTGATTCAACGTACAAGTATAAGAACTAATTATTTGCTTGTGTACAAATGCAGAACTTACGACAAACGTTTTTTTAGGTCCATTAATAAAGATTCCACCGAAAGGAAATGAACATTACATTCGTGATAAATAAATCAGACTGATGGATAAAAATGAAAAACAAAATGTTTTGGCAAACATGCATCTACAAGGGGGCTGGGGGCCAGCTTTGGATGTCAGGGGGGCAACTGCACATCCGCGCCGAAATGTAGAGGATTTTTTTTCCAGACTAATGGCCTCCGGAAAATAAAAAAACCGGGGAGGGGGGGGGGGGGGGGGCTTGTTCCCACCTTCCAAATGGGGACGCTCTTCAAAACTGACCATTATTATGCATACTGCAAATTACATACATGTACCCATTTTCAAGGCGCATTGTAATAGGTTTTGAGCGGGTTTTTCTTTTTTGGGATTGATGTCAGAACTATGTAACCATTTATTCAAATAATTGCTGGGGAAAAAATGGGAAAAAAACATCCTCGAGCGGGGTGGGTGGGGGTGGGGGGAAGGGGCATAGTGCCCCCTTCTGAACCCCCCCCCCCCCCAAATGGCTAAAAAAAGATTTTTTTACGTGAAAATAGCTTTACCTTCTATTGTTCAATGACCTAAATGAGGATAATGAGTCGATAGTTGTTGACACCGGAATGGATTCAAGGCACTTACCGACCAAAATCGATTAAGTTGGAGGGTTGGGTAAACCTTGCACGAATTATTAACTATGATATTAACTATGATACGCAGGTCAATGTTACTGATGACCTAGAGTAATATACATGCCATTCGCAAAGAAAAAACTGCATGTGACCAATTTGACCTCACTTATCATTCATGCCAATGTGATCCTCATGGCCAGCAGCCATAAAAAAAGAGAGCACAGTACAAACTGTAGATGTCCCAAACATCAAGTAACGGAGAACATCATTGAGAAAGACGCTTTGGTTTCTAATGCATCATTAAACAAATCACCTGTGTATCAAGGGCGGATCCAGAACACAATTTTTTTGGGGGCCCAAAAAATTTTGTTCTCCCCAAAAAGTGGGTCCAAAAAAATACGGCGTGGGGTTCGGGGCCCGCTTAAGGGCCCCGAAAAATTTTTGGATTCTAGATGCTCTGTGGTGCGATCTGAGGCAATTTCTGACCACTTTAACCAATGTTTTTTTGAGGAAAAGATGTTGGTGTACTCATTGCCAGCCTTTATTGCGATGTCACATAAAAAAAATTTAAAAATTGGTTTCGTTTTGGGGGTGGGGGGCATGGCCCCCTTTGCCCCCCCCCCCCCTGGATCCGCCCTTGCTGTGTATATGTATATGAACGACCTAAAGACGAAATGGAATTATTTGAATGGCAAGAAAAATGGTTACCAATCTATATTTCTGTATTTCTTTTTAGGTGAGTGAAATGCCTCACCAGCAAATTACAAGACCATTTGTGATAATTACAGGCCTTTCTGTTTCATGTAGTTAGAAGGCCATAACTGTCATCTTGTCAGACAATTAGTTTTAAGTTCATTTTACCAACCTTGCCTAGACAGGGACCAATAATAGTAATAAAACCTAAGTACTCTTAAATAAATAATTGCCAGTTTGAGTCACTTGACATGCAGCCAACAGGATGATCGACATTATGGTTTGTGTAGGTCACGATTACACTGCAAAAGAGAGTTTAGCAAATAAACACTTTTCTAAACACTTTCTTGCTATCAGTTTGTAAACATGTTTAGTTGCTAAATATGTTTAGAGTAAGGATGTACAGTGTCTAGCAATTGAACCTTGACGCTTAGGAATTAGAACACGTAATGTTTAGTGTACAAATATGTTTACAAAGTGATAACAAGATTGTGTTTAATTGTGACTAATTATTTAGGAAAATGGTAACCACCATCTGTTACATATTATGTGTTCTTTTTCTTGACACCACGAACTCCATTTCACCGTCACGGATGACTGAGCACCAAGTGATGTAGCTGACATGCCAAAAATGGCCTTGTTCCACATGCACCATTCAGCATGTTGAAAATAACAAAATCCAGGACGTACATTATCAAAGTCATTTATTCAATTGCTAAAACATATCAAGGTTTTTCACTGTCCCCCTTTTGTCCACTGTCCTTCAACATGCCCCCTATTCCTTTGAACGCACATCTCTGTCCTGGTTCTCATTGCTGTGAACGCATTACTGATAACGTCTCTCTCTCTCTGATAACTGTCAATTGGTCTTATGGTGCTTGTGGAACAATGCCAGTTACATCACTTGGTGCTCAGTCATCCGGAACGTTAAAATGGAGTTCGTGGTGTCAAGAAAAAGAAGACATGGTTATGTAACAGATGGTGGTTACCATTTTCCTAAATAATTAGTCATACCTGAGAAATCAACAAAATAAGCTCGGTTTCCTTGTTTTTTTAAACACCCTGTAGAGGACAACAGGGTCCCCAATTGCCGAGAGGTCCCCAACTTGAATAAGCATACAAAACATTTGGGAGGTCTGCCTAAAAAGTTAGAGTACAAACAAAAGAGGGACAATAGGGGGTCCCTCAATGCAGGCATATACACACTTGCATGTGCTGGTGCGCAACACGTACCGTAATTAACCACTCGTGTATTTTCTTGATCACTTATGAAAGCCGTTACATAATTCGGAGTGCCTGATATTATTGCCCCACGTGTTATAATACGTACAACAAAGTGTTTAATTTTATATTTAAAGCTGAGTGAGCCATCACTGCTTCTGCGCTCGTCCATGAGATTCTGCTGTCTGGTATCCCCATTAACCTAATAGCATTATTATAATGAGTAATTAATAGCTGGCCGAATAGGTCATACATGACCAAATTGCGTCTTAATGTACTAAGGCTACCATGCATGGCTAATTTCCCACCTGTTTGCAAGAGTCATGACACCAGTCGTATAGCTGAATTTGACTAGCGTGCTTTGTAGCTGATTTAATGAGAATTTCAATAGACTGAAAGATCTCACTCTTCGAATCGCGTCTGTTAAATAGCACGGATTGGTTAATGAAGTTTCACACCAGAACAACGGAGCATTTGGTGAACTGCTAAGCTCATTATCTGTGCGTTGCTAATTCTTTGGGTGATGGTCCATGTTAATATAAGGCGGATTTTGGTATTATGCTGTCACTGTGCATTCAACTTGAGGAGGAACGTGTTGGCGCCTATGATTAATTGATTATGTAACTAATTTACATAACCATTGAAGCATAAGTTTAGGTTGTTCCAACTATATTCATTGTGGCAAAGAACAATAGGTAGGTTGGCCAACGGAGAGGTTGCTGGCATGTAAATCTCCTTTCATTCACTTTGCTGCAAATTGGACCACATTGACATATCCCTTTCAATTAACTGTCTATATCTCTAGATGTACGTGTACAAAAGGGATAGGGAAAACAGCATTGTGTCGAGCAATGATCACTCTTAATCGTATATACGTTATAATTAAACACAATAGAGGTATTTTTAATATATTTTCTCTAAAATGTAGTATCTGTCGAGTGCACACTGTATATCATTAATACAAATCTAGTCTGCATGGCCAGCAGCCATTTCAACAAAACTGAGAAAAAAAGTACAAAAAGTAGATAGATAGCAAACACAAAAAACGAAACCCATTGAGATTTACGGTTTTAGGCTTTCATATACATCAACTAATAAGCAAATCATCTGTTCATATATACACGTAAATGGACAAATTAGAGGCGAAGATGGAATTGTTATAATGGAAAGAAAACAACAGGGTTATCAATCTCTGTCTCTATTTTGTTTTTAGATTGCGTTAAATGCCTGACCAGCAAATCGTTAGACAATTTACGATCAGTGTGGGTCAGGCTGTTCCATGTAGTTAGAAGGCCAGAGCCGCCATCGTGTCAAACAATTAGCCCGTTCTGAACAAATTTAGTCTTGGCAAAGACCAACGCCAAGCACTCTAACATAATTGATTTCCCGTTTCCATCGCTTGCCATGCAGCCAGCAGGATGCTTGACAATTGGGGTTTGTGATCTTGAAGTAGGTTTCAAGTGAACTTCATGTTGGGGCCAATGAATGTTTCACAGTTCAGATGCTATAAACTACGTGCAGCTTCAAAGTTTTACCTAAAGTTTTTACGTTTAAAGGGAAAATACAACATTTGCAAACATCAAAAAATAAAACTACCAAATCATTTTGAAATACCTTGCTGGACTCTTAGTGAATGACAGTGTAAAGCATCCTGTAAAATCATGGCGATGACGTTGATCGTATATTCCGCTTGTTGAGCCATCACTGTTGTTCGCTATGCATGAGCTTCTATCGACTTGTATTCATATTAAACGCAATAGAATATTACAATGCATAATTGTTTCCGCAAATTGGTGTGACTGCGGTGCGTGACCTACGTGCGTCTTATAATGCAGGACCTATAGTATACGTACATGCGGGAATCAACATCATCGCTTTCCCTGGGAAGCAATCAGAGATCGAGAAAAGGTTCAATGGGG